AAAATTGACATCTTTATTTGTACATTTTATTATTATTATTATTATATTTCCCACATTGCTAGTTGAAGTTTGCCAAGATTTGTGTCGAATCTTCCTGGCAAAGATGCATTTCGATTTGTAAGACATCATTCTTTGCTGAGATTGTACGGTGCTCATTGACTTTACCACTTTGGGAAAGAATAGAACTTAAAAGAAATTATAAAATATAATCTTTTCTATTTTTAGTATACATGTGGGTTCTAACAAGATGTCAAAAGACAAAAAATGGAATTAATAATATTAATTTTTTTACTAACACAAATTTAGCCAAATTAATAGTACTAATTATTTTTTATTTTTTGGTCGTATAATAGTACGAGGTTTTTAATTAATGAAATAATTTATGGTTCCTTATTGAGTCATGGTGGATATTTTCACATATATTATTCGTTAGGTAAACACTTGTTTTCACAATTGCTTTTCGCTCTATTCCTCTAATTAGTTAAACACCCTAGAGTTTTGTTTGTTTGTCCATCTTACATATTGTCTTGTATATTTCATTATTTTTGGCAATGCTTGCACATGTTGTTATGAGTTTTCGTGTGTAATTAAGCGTTTGAATTGGGCGTGGGGACATGGAAAGATTTGTGGCCTTGATGCAGTCACGAGCGGACAGAAAATGGTGCCTTCGACTCTTGGGAAGTGATATTGTACACGGAATTTGTCACCTTGGTTACCTGAATAAGTCAATAAACACGCAACATAAAATATTATTGAGCACTAATAGAATGAAATTTGAACTCTACACTGTGGCTTAATGGCCACAACCCTTCATATAAGTAGATATCATTTTTTGTAGATGCATATCCAAACTTCACAGATTTTGTGTTTGTTTGGTGTGGTTAAAACTTTTAATAGAAGTTCTGTTAAGAAAAAATTATTATAAAAGTGTTATTTTTGTAAATAAAAAAAATAATGGTAAAATAAGAATAATATGTTAATTTTATTAAAATCAAAATGAGAAGTTCCTGCAAAAATACTAATTTGGTGCTTTTGAAATTTGCAATGAAATGGACAAAATAGTAACTTGTGAGAATTAGTTATAACATTTTTCACAAATTATAGTATTTGGTGTAACTGTAACTTTTGGAATCTAAGAGCATGTTTGGGTTAGCTTGTAAGAATTTTTATTTTTTTTGTATTATTCATAAGTGATAAGTTTAAATTTTTATTGGAGGAAAAATTTAAAAATTGCTTTTAGAGATAAGAAAAAATGAATAAAAAAAGTAAAAAAAGAAGTTTATGAAAGTAAAAGTTTGAAACTTTTGAACTTTTATTATTTATGATTTAAGGTTAAAAAAATTTTAAAAATATAAGTTTTTAAAAGAAAAATTTTAACTTATGAAATAGAATAATATCAAAAAGTTGAAGCACTTGAAAGCTGAACCAACATGGTCTAAAAAGATTTCCAACCAGTTGTACCAAACATAACCTTTGTTCTCTATTCTCTTAAATTACTCTGTTTCAACCCAAAAAAAAAAAAAAAAAAAAAGTTCGGCAGAGGAAGGAAGAGATGCAAACATAGAAACGGACTAACCAAAATGTAGATGAGAGAAGCAGCAATAATGGTGCGGTAGCGTCCAAGATAAGCATCGGCGACGAACGCCCCCAAAAGGGGCAGCAGCGTGGCCGTGCCGGACCACGCGTTGACATTCTCAGCCGCGGTGGCCGTAGACTGACCAAGCTGCCCCGTGAGGTACGTTATGAGGTTCGAACTGATGCCGTAATAAGCAAACCTCTCCGACACTTCAACAGCTGCGCCGAATTTCGCAGGGTCAGTCAAGATTCAGATTTGATTAGAACTTAGAAGTAGAATTTCTTACCTATGATGAAAGCGGCCGATCGCCATCCTCCGGAGCAGGATCTGCTGACCGGACGGCCTTTGAAGTCAACGGAACCATCCACGGTGTCTTGTAGAAGCGTAACTTCGGCGCCATCCGCGGTCGGAGTGATGGCCATCGGAATAGACTGTCGAAGTATCAACCAGTACGATCTTTTGTCATGATTAAATAAATGTATGGTGTTTTTTTTAAAAATAGTAATTATTATCCATACGTACAAAAAAAATAAAAAGAGAGTAAGTGGCAATTAGATCCTGTTTGAATCATTTTCATTTCTCAAAATCCTTAACATTTAAGCCGGTAAAAAAAAAGGGTTTAATTCGTTTATATTCTAAAAATAAATGTTAAGATTAATTAATTTTATATAAATTTTTTTATAAATTTTAAGATAAAATATTATATTATATTTTTATATATTTTATTTTATTTAAATTTTGTAATATAAAAATTTATATAAAATAAATTTAAATGTTATAATAAATAAGACTTTACTTGTGTCGTTAGAAAATTTGAAGAAAAAAAAAACCATACGTACAAAACAAAAACAACTCAATCTACTCTTTTGAATATACTATTTTGAAAAAAGAAGAGTATTGTGTAATTTTACAATACTATAAATAATTCATTGACATGAGTGGAGGATTTTAACATTTTTTAAATAAAATTTTAAGTGGAAGTTTTATAAATGAGAGATAAGAATGAAAACTACATTTTTTTATAATATTTAACTTAATTTAATTTTAAATTAATTAAAATTTAATATAACACTTAAATATCAAAAGTTTAATACAAAATAAAAACTATATCATACTAATTAATAAATAAAGTTTGAACCTATAATATTGAACTTTTTTCGTTTAATAATTTTTATTTTATAATTTAATATATATATATATACATGTGAAGAAAAAATAATACAGTTTCCTTAAAACATATGCATGCATAAATTATTTGCTTGAGAAAGACGCACAATTCATGGGGGGAAATTTTATTGGAATTAATTAAATTGATGGTGTTCCTTTTGGTTAAACTTTGTAGGTAAGGGAGAGCCAAGTTTTGTTGTTGTGTTATTTTCAATTATGTTTTTGGATAAGTTTTGTCTTCTGCTACCACAATCGGTCGCTTTCTAAATAAGATATGAAGCATGCAACATCAGTCAACTTCCGTTGCATT